ACGCTGGTACCATCCGACACCAGCAATGCCTCGCAGACAACGATGATCAAAGACTTGAAGGCGCCTCAAATCTTCAGACCGAAGGGGCCAAGTCTCACTCCCTAGAGCAGAACGGCCCTCACTGTGGCCTTATATACACGGCCTTTCAGACGGAGGAAAATTCCTTTTTGTCACCAAAGATGCCGCAGGTTCAAGAAGGCAGCTCTGGCCTTTGCAATGCATGAGCTGACGTCAGTTTCTACGCGCCTATCGTTTCTGATGCAGCTGCCACGGTAAGTGAATTGATCAACCACCTCGAGATCCTTGTTAGCAAGGGTGAAGGGGTCACAAAGTGGCTGGTGGTCCTGCAGCAGCCTTTGCACTTTTAAGGTGCGAAGTGCATACCAAATAAGAAGCACAAACCAACCCTGGAATCCGAGGGCGCGGGTTCGAGCCTGCGTAGGAACCGGGCGACCCTCGCAATGTCCTTAGTCCACGTGCGACTGGTATGATTTACACGGTACTGATGCGTCGGTACTGCCTACCCTGTCCGCACGAGTGACAAAATATTGTCCGCTGGAGTGACCGTTGAAGCTCCCTGAGTGACCAATTCTTATGGCCCTGGCCGTCCCAATTGGACACTTTTTGGACAACTTTTGATCACTCAAAATGACTTTTTCTAACCCACCTTTACCAGGTAACTTGAATGCATTTTTCCTAGTTGCAACGTTAAGCCGAAATCGATTCCCAGATTGTAATTAGGCCGTACCATAGCCGTTAGGCCAAACCGAAAATGCTCTTGGGTGACCGAAATTCGTCCCAGTTGGGACGACTTTTTGCCATGAATTGTTTTCCCAACGTACCCACCATATGCCATAAATCCATTTTCCCTGATTGCAAACACCGTCAAAGTTAAGCCGATATTTATTCTTAAATTCTAATTGCATAATACTATAGTCGTTAAACGAAGCCGACAATGTTTTCAAGTGATCAAATGCAGTCCATAAGGTGTCCAATTGTGACGGTCGGGGGCACAAAAATTGGTCACTCGTGTTGACTGAAATTACCATTTTGCCAAAAAGCGACGGCTTTTAGGCAAAGAACGGTGGTGTTAAAGATAAGGTTGGCGGCATCCGGTTACCGATGTGCCTGTCACTGTGGCCTCCACGGGGACAGCCACAGGACGCCTGCGCCTACAGAGGGACCACAGTTGGCTTGCGTTGCACCCCCCACAGTTCCATCCACACACCCCATATCCACTGTAAACCCGAAGGAATAATTCCGGGAGGCATGTGGATGGGAGCCACGTTACATCAACGGAGTCGGTCCACACTCCTTCACAGGCAAACACATGCACGCTGTGTTTGGGAATCAAGCCGCACACCAGGCGGTGGCTGGATCGTAGTCCGCCCCACACACAAACTATGTGCATACCACCACTTTTCGAGCCTAGCAAGCCCACGAGGACCGTGAACCCCGTCCCTTCCAGCAACGGCCAACTGTCTGCTGGAAGCAGTATAGACTAGGTGATGGGTACTAGACAGGTAGACACCTTGTCAACATGCACATCAAGCGCAACCGGGGACGTCAATTAACAACCAGTCACTTGGAATGACGATATCAAATAAAATAAATCGGATAACGCATACAAATATGCTGACTTAATTCTTCGCTAAATTAGCATACGCAATAAATTGGCTTTAAACAAATCCGTGCTAATTTCAAGACGTCAGCAAATACATTTTAAGCAAATGCCACAAACTCGAAAATGTTGACCAAGTTAACTACAATTAGCTTAAGTGACGTGTGCAAGTTTATAGAAGATAGTTTAGTTAGACATTAATATGTAAAAAAGCATTAGCAAATATGGCAAACTCACCACCTGAACTAAAGAGACTCGGCATGCAAACACGCGGTTAGTGAATCGAATGCACCGTACCTACAAACGCTGCGCCGGATCTGCCTACGTTCTCAGCAGAACTTGTCGTCGTTTCGGTGTTGGCCGCCAGTGGCTTCGCTCATGGCTCATTAGGCCTGCCTGACCCAGGCACTCCCGACCGCATGTGCTACATGCGACATGCACATCCACGGCATACACTACAGCGGCACTTTCCGCTTCTTCTCTGCATGCATGAGGTCTTTCTGCTGCACCTCGGCAACTGCCCTCGTCATCAGATCGCGCCATGCACGGCAATCAACCGCTTTCGGTTCCCATGACCTGCAATCAAGAGTAGAACCTGCTAGGCCCACTTTGATCATGTCCTGGTAACGAAGCTTCGGTTTCCCCGCATGCCGCTTCCCCAAACTCAGCTGACCATATAATAGCTGCTTCGGTATCCACTTCGAATCCCTACGGCTCACATGACCGCGCCACCTCAGGTGTCACAGTAGAAGTGTGCAGTCCACTGCATGCATTCCGCTCCGGCGCAACACTTTCGTGTCTGCAATTCTGTCTTACTAACCAATGCACCGAGTCCGTCGCAAACCGTGCCGATGGAACCGCTCGAGAGATCGCACATCCCGCCGGTATATCGTCCACGTTTCGCTGCCATATAGAAGAGTGGACAGCATCATGGATGTATAGACCATCAGCTTCGTGCCGACGGTAAGCTGGTGGTTGTTCCACACTCACTATTCGAGCCACCGGAATGCCGCCGCTGCTTTAGTGACGCGGATACGAAGCTCACTGTGTATCTGCTGGTCAGTCGACATCACACTCCCAAGGTAGCAGAAGCGGGTGGTTTCCAGTGCTTCATCAGCAACGCTGATTCGCGGTACTATTTTACCTCCGGTGAAGGCTGAAAGAGACAGATAGGTCTGCTTGTTTTGATAGTGAGCCCGAGTTTGGCCGCTGTCGAGCCCAGAGCAGTAGCCATGTGCTGGAACTCATCTGCGCTGTGTGTAAACAATGCACAGTCGTCAGCAAACAGCAGCATACGGATAGTTGTCTCAAAGACTAGGGTTCTCGCACCGGGACGGCTTATGTTCAGCAACCCACCAGCAATATGGTGCTCTACACGAACACCGTAATAACAGCTGCAGATATACAACCTTATTTAACAGTATATCTGGACAGATCATGCCATTTATTTTCTTATTAACTTTCCGCGTCTGCAAGTGACCACACACGCCCAAATGGGACGGCTGGCCATCTATCTGTGCGGACAGGGTACGGGCGTATTGCCGCTGATGTCACACAGAGACTGGCCACATTTCTTTCCAACTCCATGTGGCATCGTCAGGCGTGTATTTCCAAGGGGACGGGATCACTTTGTTTGACATGAAATGTTTGTACATGAGGATAAAATTTTCCACCTGCGAGACAGAGCTTCAATTTGGGTACATACACTAGCTTTTTTCATCCTCCTTACGTTGCGTTGTTTCGAGAGAGTTCATTATGAATAACCCATATGTCAGCTGTGTTTTATGTGTCAGTTCTGTGAATTATTAAAAGTAACTCACCTCCTATTGTTTCTTGGGTTATAGCCCATAAGTCATACACAAAGTGGACTAGACGTTAAAAGCAATCGCGGTGATTGTGTCGATGTTGTACACTCCACCGATGTTGTCGACAGTTAACTCCTGTCCAAGGTGTGATCATTTGCACATCGAATCCCGCATTAGCGTTCCAATCTCACATCCTCCCATCGCATTGCTTGATGGGATGATGTATAGTAACATTTATTCGGCGAGGTCGTTCTCCTGTCGCAACAATGCGGCCATCCAACAGAGTTTGTCACTACATGGTTGGATGTATATTGCCTGCTCATAACCTATTCATCTTGATTTGTCCACGTTCTACGGTCAATACCAGCCATCCAGTGTTGTTTATTTGCGAATTATTGTGGTATGCATATTTACGTTGTTGGGCCATGTGGTTTTGTGCAATTTAACCGGGGGGGGGGGGTTGTCGGGTACGATGCTGGGTCTGTTCGCGATGTCGTGTGCGGTACACACCGGGAACCATGGGAATCAGCGGACGAATATGCCCTCATGCCCCTCCTGTTTGACTGTGTTGCTGTAGTCGCAGCAAAATCAGAATACACTGAAGTCGAAGCCTCGCATCACGTATACTCTGTGGGAATACAAATGAAGTATTTTCGATTCGTCCCGCATCGCTTACAGATTCATCAGTGCATAACCTGCGTGGAACTACGCATGTGTTTCTTGGGATTATGAAATGTGGAGCTTTAGCTGCCCCATTGTCTTGCGCAATCTTTCCTTTCAAGGGTTCACTGGCTTATTTGGACCCTTATCCATCCCGTCAAAACCACTTACTCTTGTCATCTGTTTACACAAAGTACAAACCTCCTGCACATAACCTCATGAACTTCGCATGGAGTACTCTCTTGTGCATTGCGTCAACAGTACACCTTATTAGCGATCCCCTATAGAAAACGAATACTTTAAGCTTACTGAAACGCACCGACCACAAGCTTAGGAATTAGCAAATGTCAGTATTCGGTAGATAGCAGTTACAACCTTTACAAGTCACCCTCGACCACCGAACGCGGTTGTTGCACTGGCGCAGCTAACCATATGCGGACTTGAATTTGAGCCTGTTAGGAAGAGTTTGATTACCGTGACGCACGACCCGAACTCATGTAAGAGTCCGTTTGGAACTGTTTGGGCACACTGTCAACCAACTGCAACAATACTCTGGCTAATACACCGTATGCTTTGCGACGTCCTTCTTTTGTTTACTTCCAAATTTGCAATAACAAAGCCAGCAGTTCGCGTGGCCCGTGAACGTCCACCAAGGACCACCGTTTAGTGTCACATCATGAAGGCATTTTCTGGAACTATATAATCTCAGCACGAGGATATCCGCGGAGTGTTGTTACTGCAGAGCTGAATTACTACCGCATCTCCCCGGTAGTAATCTGACTTCGCAATCCCCTACTTGCTTCTACTGAGGTGACTGTTTAATTCCACATGTTCTTGTTTCCAACTTGAGTCCACTCTTTTAAACATGCTCAGCCATTGTAAGAGCTATTTCGTTTTTACCTCATTCACACCAGGTTCCTCGTCTCATTTTTGGTCGACGCTCGCGGAGGCTCCATGCGTGGCAGTCGGCATCCTGGACTCCGGGTTCTGGTTCCACCGAGCGCGGCTAGCGCACCAACTCGGATCACTTGCCGCATGCTTCGACCGGAGCGCACCACACGCCCTCCACAGCTGAACGATTCGGAAGGATTGGCTTGCCGGTGAGTGAACGTTTAGACAATCGCATCAACATGGGCTAGACTCTTGCATATAGATACCATTCTTTTAGTGTCAAGATTAACCCTTTTCTCCCACCCGACATCGGTTTGCTTCGTTGGTAAGGAAGCATCAGGTTTCCTCGTCAAAATCGCTGTTTTATTTTCTCTCTGGTAAGCAAGCATAACAGAGTAAGAATGATAGCAACGCGTATTCATTGTCGGTGTTCTGTATTCCGATCTGCGTTTACAGCATCCAGGCTAAGTATGTTCCGTTTACGCCTGTTCCCGGAGGGCTTTCGAGGTTAGCTAGCGAGCACTTACACGACCGACGGTATACCAATCCATTGTTCATTACTGACCTACGCGTCCTACTACCGTGTATTTTTTCATCAAATCTCTCACGCTACGCCTTGGATTAACTGCGCGTGAACACAGTTGCATCCGCTGTGAATTTGTGCATGTGGCTGTACTACCGACTAATAGCCACTAGAGCGATTGAGCTGGTGCACTTTACGGACCTGGTTGATCCACATTCACTCACGAGGTCCCTTCATGGGAACCATCAGCGCGCGTATATTTGTACAGTGACAAATGTATTGCACAAATGGCCTACCTACCTCAATCACTCTCTCCGTTTGCCAGTATGAAACCAGTTCCGCAGACACTATACGACTGTCTCGATTCAAGAACAAATCCTCTCACTGGTTTCCATCGACCTGTTTACCGGACGGGTGGATTCATTCCGGAACATCGATACGAATAAACATGCTTTTTGTCTCTCGCTCTATTGATGAACTTGGCGGCAGCGGATTTCTCAGCTCATGCCTTTACGTACCTGTGCAGGCATTCAGTTGTTTGAAATGCACACTTCATAATTGCCAACTTGTAAGCGTTGCCTCGGTTAACATCCACAATCACCCTTTGAACGCTGCCTCTTGATTACGCATGGCCATGAGTAGGTTTTGCTTGTTTCACTTCTCACGATCGCAACTAGACCCAGCCAGACAATCACCAACACTCGGAAACTCACTGCGTATCTGTTTCGAGCTTTCAGGCTCGCCATCAGTGCAGACTTCCTTTTTCTGATGTTAACCCGATCCTCTTAATAAACATAAATTTACGCCTCTGTGGGATGCATAAATCGTTACCTTCCGGGGATTTCATTTGTTTTGGTTTGGACTCCGGTGTCAATGATGTAAGCGACAGAACTCGCCCGGAAGTTTTGGGCAACGCGTTCCCACTGGTATCCAATCAATAGCAGTGCCGGAACTGGATAGCCGTACTATTTACAAACAACTAAGTCAACACTAACAATGCATGTATCAATAGTAACGCTTCCAACTCAAATCGGATACAATGGCAAGCAATTCGGTCTGATCGCCAGCATGCTGGGCTCCAGAGCGGTATGCGTACAAGGTAACGACACGCGAAATGATGAGATTGGCCGATTACACGAATAGAACGAGGGCTGGGAGTGTCTTGAAGTGGGACTAGGTAAATAAGTCTGAAGCGCTGTGCAAATTGCTTGTTAATGGAACGAATCAACCGAGGCTGATCGATCGAACGACAATGCTAGCTGCGCTAGCCAAGAGCGCAAATCTACCGCATTTGAATGGTATTCAATGAGATTCAATGCAGACCTACGTAGGTTCACTGGTTAAGTTTAGCTCAAGTGGATAACTCCCAAGCGAAGTGGATAACTACCAGCCGATCTACCTGACCGCTGTTTTGGCTAAGGCGCTTTAGAACATCGTGAAGAAGGGTTTTCTGTAACATCTCGAGTTGAAAGCCTCTTGACGCCCGCACAGCGTGGTTATGTTTAAGGTCGCTCATGCATCATCAACCTGTTGTTGACGAGGCACGATTGGTTGCAAGCGCTGAACCAGGTGATGTTGGTCGACCTCATTTACCTTGACTACAGTAAGGCTTTTGACAAGGTGAATCATGAGGTGCTCTTCCATGGGTTGACAGTGTGCGGTGTTGGCGGCTCGCTGTACCGATAAATCAGGAATTTCCTTGTTGGACGAAAGTGGAAGGTCGGGTCGACAAACATTTGACCGACTGGTATCCATCGATCAGTGGCGTGTTCTAGGGCACTGTGCTGGGGCCTATTTTCTTTCTGATCCATGTAAACGATGGGCCTCGGTTTCTTCTTTCGCCTTGCATGTTGTTTGCAGATGACTTGCAGATGTGGAGAGTAATCAGTGCGCCCGATCACTGTGACCTGCTTCACCTCCATGTGGTTCGTAGAGGTCAACCTTTCCATAAACCCGCTAAAGTCGCTATTCCTGATGCTGGGTAAGTGTGAGTACAACCGCATTCACACTGTGACCCTTCAATCGTTGCATCCCGCTCCTTTCGCGAGACACCTTGGTGTACTCTCACGCTGCGACTTAAAGTCCGTGGAAAACACGAATAAGCGTCACCAAAACGGACTTCATATGCTTTGGGCGCTCAAGCGCAGCTTCTGCGCTTGGTCCGAAGAGATTACCACGCGCCTCTTCGTTTCAGTCATACGACCAATGTTAGATGAATGTACGGCTTACTCGCATACTCCTATCACCCAGAGCGAGGTATAAAGGATTGAGCGGGCACAGCTTGTGATCACCAGGTTCATCTCCACTTTACGAAGGGTACCTTATGGGAGGCTAGGACATTGCACCTTGTCTTATCGTCGAGCGCGCGTTGATTTTATCACGACGCTCCGGGTATTACATCTTGGTGATTACTCCATGTTAAATCCGCAGCTCCATATGCGCACAACAAACAGCACACGAGGACGCCAGTACAAGCTTGCAGTGCCGGATTTGAAGCGGGTTGCCCACCAACTCTGTCTCGAACCGAGAGTGGTGAATATATGGATTAACCTGCCGTCGCACGTAGTCGAGGCAAAATTGGTGGCGGAATTCAAGAAATTCCTGGACAAACACTGCCGATATGAAATATCGCGAGTGCTCTCCAACATAACAGGTCTTTATACCTGAAGGGTTTTAGAGGCAACTACACAGAGACATCTCTTCTTGCTGCTTCCATTCAGTATTCATTTCTTTGTAGTATACTCCTTTATCCGTCGCTTCCTTATATAACACAATTGCTTCTTTAGACAGATACACACCGATTGCGTCTTGTTCCGTGTTCTCACTACTGTTAGTGGGTGGGAGCAGTCTCGCGGGGCCCGACACAAATTGGTCAGGGATACATTTGCGCAGAAAAAGGAGTAGACAGATAATGGTAATCGGTTAGGGATAGGATGTAGAGCCACTTGGTGCGGATTACTGGAAAGTTACTTTAAGGGTTATTTCAAAATGGTTCGTTTGAAAGTGCACGCGAGGCTAATATAAGTAGACATACCATTGCACGAAAGAACGGGAAGAGCTTTTTGGAAATTTGTTTGATGATTATAAACACAGGATAGGGTTGTCAGGTTTGGACAGTGTGGGAAGTAAGTTTTCATAGATCGGAATCACAGGCTCATATGGGTGATGGATTACTATATTTGCTACAAATAGCACCGCGAGTATGACGAGCTATAGCCCCACATGGCTTTAGAGTTTTGAGCAAGTTGTATCACTACTGCGACCTGATCACGATAAGAATAGTCGAGCTCAGTGCATCGCGACCTCAACCGGTGTGGTCAGGATTCTGATAACGACCAACAGTGACGAATGGACAGTGCCAAATAAACGACAAAGGGGAAAATGACCGATACATTATTCGCGATCGTAGGCTAAAGAAGAGTCCACCAAATGTCTGAGTGTTGCTCATTGCTCTTCGATGTGTGCAATAACCGCCAAGCATCGTTCATCAGACGGTCGGCCTTTTGTTGCCTTCAGCTCGAGCTGCTAATTATCGTGGTTCTTATGACGTGGCTATGTTAAAATCTTACCATCACCCTAAGCGACTGAGGTTCTTCAATAGCACACCATTCTTGTCGGTGCTCGTAGCATTCTTCTCGGCCATGTAAGTGACAGCGCTGACAAGGCTGCCTGGATAATGGACCCCGTCGGTCGCTTCAAATCACTGCTCAGTGACGGCGAAATGGCATTGTGTTCACTTCTGCAAACTGCATGCCATGTTATGCAACACTCAGCATCTGTCTGCAAAGGATCGATTTCTTAAGTACTAGGTCCCATGTCCGTTTGGTACAGTCAAAGGGGATAGAGTCATTTCTGTTCGTTCAAACCACAAGCCAGAAGGTATAGATGAATTGTGACAGTTCTAGTCATTCCAACTAATTGTGATGGCCGCAGGGTGAAACCCCGCAAACTTTTGCGCGGCGTCCAGAAATTTACAGGGAATAGTTATCTGCGGCGCATCCTTGACACAGGTAGGATTGACTCGAAAGCAGGCGAAAAGTCTTCTGTTTCACTGTTTGTATGTGGCATTGTTCAACTACTTGCCAGTGCACAGGACTGCGTTCAACTCTTAAGCGGATCTCTCGGTGGCCACTGGGTCGCCTCGGTGGGATGCGTGTGAGCAGTGTGGAAGCAGTTGCCCCGAAGAAATTCACATGACAGTTTTACAAATAGGGTCGGATTACACCCCAACACTCCATATGGTGTTGCCTAGAACGGAATATGGTGATGGTTGTTCCCCACAAGTCGCATCATCCGTGTGGAATTCACACGACTAACGTTCGTATCGACGCTGTGGCTATGTGAGTGCAGATGCACGGCTACTCCATCGCTTGCTTCAAGTGGGTTAACGAGAAGGACTTGCCTGTTGTGACCTTACTCCGTAAATGGAGTTGGCCATATGCATCGTTCTTAGCCGTTGTGGCAGCATGTGACTAACCAATCGACCGCGTACACAGTGCCCTCAAACAAATTGATGTATGAATTGACATTCCGTCGTTTCCGGTCTTGTTTTGACCCACGATCCGTTCCGTTCACCCTTCCATCGTAAACTCATTATGCACACACGTGACCCACCACGTGTGTAAAGAGCGTTAGCGGTAGCCCACGTGTTTCACCCACGGCCATTGTCCTCGTGTCTCTGCTTTT